AATATTTCCGAGGGGTTTGTAAGGGTCTGATAATTTTCCAAGGTATAGGTGCTCATGATTGATGTATGAAAATTATTATCCGAATTTTTAAGAAGGTTCAAGTTAGGTGAAAAATTCATCCAAGACAAAAATAATTAGAAAAATGGTCGGTTTTGAAGGGATTGTTCCTAGAAAAATTTTAAAGGGGGTTAAGGGACCTTTGGAGTGAGTCCCGGGGGCTAGATTTTGAGGAGAGGATGTTCTAGTGATTCAAAAGGGAATTCTAAATCGAGAAAGGTCGACTAAGGAGATGACCTTCTTATTAATAGGTTCACCGAGATAATTCGGCTAGGACAGATTTCTTCAAGTAAGGAATTGAGGAGTCATCTTTTCAAGGTGAAAGTAAAGGGGGTAAATTCTACGCCTTACGTGTTCTTTCAAGTATTACGAGCTTTAAGTATTTTGATGAAGTGATTGTCGTTGGTTGATTGTGCTTATGGTTGATGATATGTGATTTTATTTGAGCTATGTTTGAAGTGAATGTGCATGATTTATTATTTACTTTAAAGCTTTACGTGTATAAGTTATTGTTAAAGTTTAAGAAACAAGTTCTTTTTAAGAAGTAACTCACCTTCAAGAAAGTGAAGCCGTTTTAAGTGTTTTTAGTCAGTAGCGCCAGTCCGTTGCCATTTGAGATTTTCAGACAGAGTAGCAGTTATGCTCTTGAGACTTTTAAGATGAGTAGCATTTATGCTCTTGAGATATTTTAAGATGAGCAGCAGTTATGGTCTTGAGAATCATGGTGAAGAGCCACCACGATAAGTTTATGTTTAAGGAAAGCCTGGATGGGCTCTCATACGTATGAGTTGGCAACTGGACTAGCTAGTGAGGGATCTCAGTGTTAGTCAAATATTTAAGTTGAGATTTGAGCTTCAATAATAAATTTTAAAGAGTGGGAGTATCATCCACCAGTTTAAGTTAAGTTCTTAATAAATACTAGAGATTTCAAACGTAAGGGCGTAGACTGACCCCAACTCACTCACCAGATCGTAAAGGAGGAAATCCTAACCAGCCAGTCCGTGATCAACAAGCTAGAGGAGCTCAGCGCCACCGTCGCTGAGAGATGTCGAGCCAGGCATCAGAGTAAGCAGCGAGGAACTTTTTTCAAGTTATTAAGACTTTATGGTTAAGAGTTAAAGACTGGAGATTCATTTCTTTTGGACGATTTGAGTTTTGCCCACGTGTTTAGGGCTTCGATTTGAGATATTAAGATATTTTAGTTTGGTATTTTATTGAAAGTTGTGTTATTTGAGATTTTTAATTATACCCCGGGGTAGAAATATCTTTTTCCAAGTTCAAAGCAGTGGGATGTTTCAGTGCCCTTGCTTTTTGCCTGAAAAAACTCTCCTCGTCAGCTTTGAGCTCATTGCACTTTGTGGTTTGCCCAGGTAAACACTGGCCCTGTAGCCCTATGGTCCATTAGTTCCTCATCTGTAACCCAATCTCTAAAGGCAACCATGCTTAGAGTTATACTATTTAGGTTGGATGTTTCACTTGGATCCAATACTCCATTGAAATCCCCTATTACACGCCAGGAATAGCCCTGCACTTTCCATGTTCTCATACTGCTATAAGTTTCCTCTCTCTCAGCTTCACTATTTGAGTTGTATATTACTGTGTAGAAAAAACTCATCCCTCCTATTAAGACTACCAGAGAGTGAATATAGTTTTTCTTCTTTACCAAAATCCTTAGTTGCACCTCACTATTCCATCTGATCCAAATTCTGCCAAGGCTACTCTTCTCATAGTTATCTTCAAACTGATAACCCAGAAACTTCTCTTGTATCTACTCTGCCTTACTAGCTTGTACCCTTGTCTCCGTTATAGCAAACATAACTATTTTATACCTTTTGAGATATTCTACTTCTGCATTATGCTTCAATGTTTTGTTAAAATCTCGAGCATTCCATGCTAGTATATTCATCTAAAATATTTGTGTGCAGCTTTCGCTGCCCGCGCTGGATTCTTCCTTCCCTTGCCTCCCTTTTTATTGGATGCTTGGACCAAAGACTATTCAATTCCTAGTTCCTGATCAATCAGAAGATCAAACACATTGCCCTGCTTAACTGGTGTTGACGAGCCCTTTACTGTTTGGGCATAGGAACTAAATCATTGACTACTGAGTCAAATGCCTCTATGGTTGGGAGAATAGGAGTTAGGAGAGGCGATGGAGCTTATCCTGCTTCAGCCACAGAAGCCTATAATTCTACTCCTTTCTGCACCATTTCCACCCATCCCACTACTGCTTCCAACTGAGGATCATTGACAACTGCTTTCCTTTTTTCTGTCTTTTTACTCCCATCTTCACTAGCACTCCCATCCTCTTGCTTCTTGTTCCCCTCTTCTTTTCGGAAAAAATCAAAAACTACCACTGTTTTTAAAAAAATTACAACAATACCACCCATTCCCAAGAATTTCCAAAAATACCACCCTTCCCCATAAACCGCGCCTTCTCAGTCAAACCGCACGGGCAAGGGGCGGCTTGACCCTTCTTAGCTGTCAAAACGTGCCTCCACGTGGCGGCCCGTGCAACCGCGCGATGGGCAGGCGATTTGACAGCCTAACCGCCTGCTAGCGCAGCGATCCACGTCGCTCATGAAAACCGTTTCCCTGAAGCGCGGTTTGCGCGTTGGGAAACGTAAACCGCGTGATGGAGGCGCGGTTTTGCGTGGGGTAAAATGACCAAACCGCCCTTCTAGCACGTGGTTTGGTCCCTATATAAACCCACCCCTTCCTCCCATTTTCTACACACCAAACCCCCATTCTCCTCTCTCCCTCTAAGTTCCTCACTGTACCCATCCCCCTCCGCACCCAAAAACCTTGGAAGTAGTTGTTTTGTTGGTTGCGGCTAAGTTCGATCTGCCTTCAAAAAACTTTTTTTTGGTTTTCACTAAAAACCCATCGAATCTCTGTCCAGATTCTGAAAAAATGGCCGATTTTATCCAAGAAGAGGGTATTTATTATGATGATTATTAAGCGGTATGTACACATTTTACCCAATTTTTGTTGTTGTTATGATGGTTTATTTAATTTATATACTAATTGATTTATGTTGTTGTTATGCTATCGTAGGTTGGGTCGGATGTTGATATATACGATCAACGATATTATGTTGATCAAGGATCGATTGATCCGACTATTTTATACAATCAAGCCAATCATCGTTCAAGAGACGTTTGGAACGACCACAAGGTTTCTAAGGAGATGTATACCTCTCCTAAGAGTCTTACGAGTATACTTGTATTGCTTTAAATTATTGAAAACAATCAATACGAAGTACAAAATAATATATTTGATTTTATGTGTGTGTACAAAAAATAATTGTACTTAAACTTCGAAAATGATTTTAGTTATGTTAAAAATAATGTTTATTAGATAATGTATATTTCTCTAAAACAACCTTGATGGCCCGGACCCTAGCTTTGCATCCCTCATTTTGATTTTTGCATCTAACCATCAGCTTCTTCGTGTCGGAATGGGTTGTGTGCCATTCAAAACTCCGAGTCATTGCTTGAGTGGCAATAGCGTGTCAGACCTCATTCTTCGTTGCAAATTGTTGGCCCTTCGTAAAGCCAGTGAGTGGACCCCATACTGGCACCTCTGGCGGGTTCATGTCGGCATCAACATACCAATCTTTATTTGGAATGTGATTGTAGTACGGGATAGGCACACAGTCGCGATGTACCTCATCACCGTCTGCGTCTGAATCTGGACCGGAATCATCAGCACCTTCAAGAGGATTGAAGCTGTCTGCACTAACATCGCCTTCCTCTTCTTCAACCTCAGGGTCACTAACTGGACTTGGATTAATCTCTTCTTCCATCTGATCATCATGAAAGGCACCTTCACCAGCTCCGTAATGGTAGTTGTGGTAACTAACGCCGCTTTGGTAGAAGTTGTACTCAGGTGGGTACTGGTAGCCTGCTTGTTGGTTCTCATCCGCCTATTAAGCTTCTTCTTCATATGATGGGAAGGATTGATGATGACTTCCAGTTCCATCATGATACTCCTGCCTCCAGCTCCAGTCTTGGTACTCCTGGTGGGGATGATCTTCGTATAATACACTCCCACCGTGGATACCAAATGTTTGGCCATCTCCAGAATGACCTACATCGCCTTCGACGACCTCGGTGTAAACGAACATCTCCGCTTGCTTAATTTTTTTGGTGTTCAAAAATTGGACCATGGCATCAACATCCTCCTGAGTGGTAAGGAGGAATTCCTCATTCCACAACGACCCGCCATGTCTGTTTGGATATCGATACACCATACGATCAACTCTTCTAGTGCCATCCATGCAGGTAATCTGAGTGCACATTTGATGGAGCTCTTCAAGCATCGGTCTTGTACAGACCTTCATTTTATAAAAATTGCCACCCACGTAACTTACACCATTTTCGGTCTCTTCCGTGTAATCATTCCACCGCAACCCAAGCGTGAACCTTTGGAACGCCATCTGCAATAAAACTGTAATTAAGTTACTAACATAAAAATCACAAAGGACAATGAAAAGTAATACAAAACAAACTTACGAATTAACGTTAATCGCAAAAACTAAATAATTTAAAGGTGCACAACTGAAATTTGAAGAAGGAGGAGTGGAGTGAAGATTTTGAGTTTTCTTGACTAGCCTTTTATAGGCGAATTTTACACTATAAACCGCAGGGGGGAGTTGTTTTAGTCTGCCATGCAGCCCCCAACCCTGCAACCTCCTGCATGGCGACATGTCGGATGTCGGGTGACCAGGCAGAAACCGCTGGTGGGGGTAGCGGTTTATGTGGCACAAACCGCTGGTGGGGGCAGTGGTTTATGTGTCGACATGGTAAACCGCTTCTTTGTGGAGCATTTTACCATGCCGACATATAACCGATCCCTGAGGAAGCATTTATCTGAATCTTTGAATTCATAAACCATACATAAATACCCACAACCATATACATTACCTAGTCACAGTTTCACACTCTGCAACTGCATACCATACTTATACATTCCATAATTGTCACAACATACACAACCACACACATATAACTAGGGGTGGCAGTTCGGTTACCGGTTACCGGTTAACCAGCTGGTTATCCACTAAACGGTAACCGAAGTAACCGAACTTCGGTCGGTTATCGGAGGCTAGACGAAATGGTTTTTGGTCTTAAAAGTGGGTCGGTTAACCGATAACCGAGAAACCAAAGCCTATTTTGGGCGGTTTTTGGTAGGGGGAGTGGTTATTTCGGTTAACTGATAACCGACCGATCGGTTATCGGTTATAATCGAAATAACCGAAATGCCACCCCTACATATAACCAACTTTCCACAAACGTGGATATCTCACACTACATCAAAAACTAGTATGCATATGAAAAATGTTCTCAAATTTTTTTTACAAAAAGTTGTAGATCACTGGCCAAAATACTAAGTAGTCGTTGAAGCATAGAGTAGTTGAAGACCATACCTCATCTTGCTTTCAACTCTAGCTGAGCTCTCACCTAAAAAATTATCTACTGCTGTTGCTGATGATCTGCTTACACAGGACATAAGCGGAGGAAAAGAATAAAAGAGGGTCAACTCATAACTGAGTGAGACAATCATCGCATAGTGAGTTCATAACAAAGCATACCCATGTCATACATCTACCAATCAAGCCAAAACACTATGGTCGGACCTCAGTCATCCAACATCCCAATAGGTTAAAGATTCAACCACCTTGACTTATGCATGTGCGTCTTATCATGTTTTACTTTTAGGCGTCTGACTACAACTCTCCTGGGAAACGTACCCCACATTCCGTCGGATGTAGTCATACATACCCCAACATACCGTCGGATGTGGTCATACATACCCCACACCACTAAGGGTGTAGTCTGATAGACATTTTAATTATTTGGTTTTATGTTCGGCTTGAATTATTTTGTTCGGGTTTATTTTGGGTACGGTGGAATAATTTGGGGATTAATAAGTTGGGGTAGTGATAGGCAATTGTGTTTAGGTATTTAAACTATTATTTTAGGTAGAAGAGGCAAGCAAGATTAAACCTAAACCTACTTTTGGCTAATCTCTCTCTCTCTCTCTTCCCTGTGCTGCCGAGCCTTCTTCTTCTTCCTCCCTGGCTGCCGCGCGACAGCTCCTCTTCTCCCTTCCCTCTTCTTTGATCAAACCCCCAAATTCAATTCTCTTTTCCTTCCTCAAATCACTGGATCAATCCCTAGTTGATCCATTTCCCTAATCCCTAGATAGAGCTCGGAACTTCGTGTTCTATCATTTGGTATCAGAGCCCCGTTCTTGGGTTCGTGATCAACAAAGACAATCGAGATGGTGCTGACAAAGTCCGTAACTGCAGTTGAGCAGGCAGCCAAGGCGGCGCAGGAGCAGGTCGTGACTGCGGCAACGACGGGGCTGCCGTCCTCCGATGATGGCGCACATGGGGTTCCCAGTCTACGGGATGGGGAGTTGGAAGACGACACGGAGAGAGAGGCGATCCGAGTCATCTTGGACCGTCTGGTGGCTGCGTTTGAGACGGAGCGCTTGAAGAGGCTGGCGGAGAGGCGCGAGCGGGAGGAGGATTCCCGACGGGTTTTGCGTCGGTTCGAAGAGGTCCAGGAGGTCTTGGAGGCGCTACGCGGCGCGCGACCACCCCTACAGAAGAGCGACGGAGGGGGCGCAGGGGCGAGCAGGCCGATCGCAGCGGGAGGGTCGCCGGAGGGCGGGACGGCGGCAGAGGACCTATCCCCGGCGGTCGTGGTGATGGAGACGACGGCGGTGGCGGCCACCGCGGGCGAGGGCGACTAGGCGGGGGATCCCGAGCGTCAGCATGGGCGCGGCGCAGGGCCTGGGCTTTTGCCTACGCCGACGGCCCAGGAGTTGGCGGCTCGCAAGGGTAAGGCCAAGATGCCCGGCTACGACGTAGGGGCCCAGCAAACTGTGCATGGGCTACTTGGGCCGGTGGGTCGATTTGATTCAACGGGGCAATTTCACGAGCCCAAAGGGCTGGGGTGGCTGAACATGGACCAGGAGCAGGTAGATAGGAGCTCAGTCTGGCGGGCCAGAATGCACCGTGGGCCGACCCAGCTATCATTGAAAATTATTTTTGCTCGAACCAGGAAGTGAGGCCTTGGGGACAAGGTTGTTTTGAAGGGAACGGGAATGATAGACATTTTAATTATTTGGTTTTATGTTCGGTTTGAATTATTTTGTTCGGGTCTATTTTGGGTATGGTGGAATAATTTGAGGATTAATAAGTTGGGGTAGTCATAGGAAATTGTGTTTAGGTATTTAAACTATTGTTTTACATAGAAGAGGCAAGCAAGATTAAACCTAAATCTACTTTTGGCTAATCTCTCTCTCTCTCTCTCTTCCCTGTGCTGTCGAGCCTTCTTCTTCTTCCTCCCTGGCTGCCGCGCGGTAGCTCCTCTTCTCCCTTCCCTCTTCTTTGATCAAACCCCCAAATTCACTTCTCTTTCCCTTCCTCAAATCGCCGGATCAATCCCTAGTTGATCCATTTCCCTAATCCCTAGATAGAGCTCGGAACTTCGAGTTCTATCATAGTCATACCTCGATACCGCTCTGGGTGTGGTCATATCTCATGAATAATCTTCAGTCAGCACCACATAATGTGTGACTATCATACATATCATAATAGAGTATTAGCATAGGGATCCCTAATTACTATGTAATTGAACATGAGACCATAAAACTCTTATTTGGTATCCTTACATGATTCATATCTCATCTTGCTTAATCATAATTCATTACATGGACATGTACTTGACTTGGCCACAATAGGCTCAACATAGGTAAACAAGGAGTTGTATAATTGCACTTCCTCGAGATAAACCCTTGTGCAAGTCATCCTCCATAAACATCATAATATCACCCTGGGAAGTCTATTCTCCCCCTTTTTAATCCAAATACAACAATCATGTGAACTTATATTCAAGCACCTTCTTAAACCAGCATAAGCCATATCAATAGTTAAGCCCTCAAATGGCAACATATATGCAATCATCAACATAAACATGGTCCATACCGATTAGAGCAAAGCAATAATATCACATAGCAATCTACAGTTCATCATATAGCATAAAAGTCCATACACCCTTAATCATGTCATTCTAGTTCACCTAGGTCAATTCTAAGCATCAATATAATTATCGTGATACGACAAACCAGGTATGCCGTGCCAATCCCTCACTAGTTCAGGTCGTAAAAACACTAGTTTTAGCCTCCCGTACCAAAAACTCAATTTTCACCAACGAACCAAAATCAAATTATGAGACCGTCCTAGTATCCCCTACAGTGTCCCCGTCATTATTAGTACTAGGCTCTTGGTCAAATTCTCGGTAAAAACACATCAAACCCTAACCTCTAATGGGTGAAACCTAGTCCCTAATTCTCTAACCTAAGCCACAAGATTCAATTAATCTAAAAAATAATAACCGACGGTTCCGATTCAACGAATTATATTTAAGTGCAAAAAGCCAAAAACCAAGTGTGAACACAGGCGTACAGCGTACGCTAAAAGTGGTAAAAATACATCAAATTTTGAATTTTAATTTGTAGAATTAGTCTACTATGATGATATAACATTGAAACACAACTAATCAAGATAGAACCAGGGGGGGTACTTTGTAATCAGAATTACGCAGCAACGAATCAATTCAAAGATTGAATTGATTAAACGGAATTTCGAACAAAAAACAAGGATGTTCTTGGGTGTTTGGATAAAACGGAATCAAACGTGCAATCTTTCATGTGGAAGAAGGCTCAAATGATATAAAGCTAGATCCCCGCCCACGATCAATGTGGTTTTGATCGATACAGAGCTAAACTCGAGCTTGGAATCCACCAAAGCTCTCACTAGTACGCAAGTTGCACAAAACCAAACGGTCTCTTTTCTATTCAACAAAGTTTAAGTTTTTACAACAAAAATAGAAGGCTATTTATAGCCAAGAAAACCTAATGCAAACCTAAATGAACAAGGAAACAAATAAGGTAAAAACAGACTCTAAAAAGGACACAAAATTCGGCCAGAATTTCCCTTTCTTCAAGCACAAGCAATCTGTCTTCTAGCACAAGCAAGCTGCGAGGAAAACAGTCCAAAAATATCTTTCGTACTAACTTCGTGCCATTCGTTCGAGGCCTTACAGAACTCCAATCTTTCATGAAATTCCTTCCCTTGGTAGACAAACATACATATTTATATGTTGTGTAAGCCTCTTGACTTGAATCACATCCATGCTCCTTGAATTGAGCTCCAAAGTAGGCTTCACAACACGTTTTCACACAATCATTTTCTGGCAGTTTTCCAGTTTTGATGTAGCAACTTTGAGTCCTTGGAAAACAATCTTAATAACTTCTTCTGGATCCAAAAATCATATCATTTAAAAGATGGAAACTTTATCTTTTAAAAAAGCCTTTGATCTCCAATTTTCATTGAGCCATTTGTGAGATACAAGCTTCCAAATTAGGTACCTTGAACTAGGATTTTGACTTAACCAAATTCTGCCCTCCTTCTTCCCAACCTCGATAGCTTCTTTGTCAAGTAATAAAAACGTGTATAGCTGGTCATTTGGGATCATATCAGTAACCCATGTATATTTAGGGAAAATTTACCCAGTTGTGGGAAGTAAGTACTCTGCATCAATAGTTGTTCTGAACCTCTGTTTTGGGCTTTGGGTTTGATTAAAAGTAGTTTCATAGTCTATAGGCTAGTAATAGTTGAGTCAAAACACATTGTTAAGTTCGTTTAGCTAAGCTAATATGTAAATGGTTCGATTAAGCTCAACCACAAAATATGTAAAGGGGAACAAGAAGGTCAGGAGATGTGAAGGTGGGAATTGGCAGTTCCTCTAACGAAATAGTGTTAATCAAACACCATATAGTTAAGGTTTTGATTAACCTCAACCACCAGGTATACATAGAGGACGAAGTTGGAAACTAGAAGTGAACAAGAAGAGAGAAGAGGCTACTAACCAGCCAACTAGAATTGAAGATCAATTTGGTCAAAGCTCCTAATCGGTTACTCTAGACTGCAAACTAAATGGAGAAGCAAAGAGAAGGAAGATCAAGGGAGCTCCAGAGGGACAACTCCCCGTCTTCTTCCACATTCGACGATGACGCCGAGGCCGTCCCTGCAGTAGTATTGCTGCCGCTGCTTATTATCTTATTAAGATGGTTAACATTTCTACCCTTTAACTTCTCCTCCGCTGCCTCTTCACTCGAACCCTTCAAGTCACGAACCACACTATAGTCACCGATTCGCATCTTCTTCGTAGTTACTTCGTCGCTAATAGTGCTTCTGGTCGCCCGGCTAAGGCACTCCGTCACGCCGCTGTAGGCGTACAGAGAGGCAGAGAACTTCCTCTCGTAATTCAGGCGCTTGCTGATCTCACTCACCACCAACGGCTCCCCTGCATCCTCCTCATCAACCCCATTACCATGACGATCCACACCTTCAGCCGATCGATTTTGATCGCTCATCTGCTTCGACAGAGGCTCCATCATCTCTTGCGCGATGTCGAACGCGGAGTAAGGCTGTTGTTGGTGAAATTCATTCATGAGATGTCCTTTCCCCACATCCGAACCACGGTCACCGTCGTCCCTGTTTCCCCTGTTCTCGTCGCCAAAAGTCGCGAACCAGTCCCGATTGTTACCATTAGTGACGCCTCGATATCCCCCGTCACCAAAACATTCGTCGCCAATGATATTATTATTACCGACGGAAACAGGGTATGGGTTCCCAACACCAGAATTGTTGTTGCTGTCTATGCTCAAGAAGCCATTGAGGTCCCTATTCCCGCTCATCTCAACACCGTGATGCTCCTCCAACGGGCAGGCAACGATGCTCTGTTTCGTACTTTTCGGAGCAACATCGTCACTAATTGTTTCCGTCGCTAAATCTCGGTTCCTTGCCTTGAGCCTGTGGAGCAAGAGATTGGTGATTTTGGGGGGGAGAACCGGCTTGGAATTGGGTGAAGAGCAGGGCCAGAAATTGGTGCGAGTGTTGGCGCCGCGGAGGAGGCAGGCGGCTTCGTCGTAAGCTCGAGCCGCCTCCTCAGTGGTGTCGTAGGTTCCCAGCCAGACCCTGATCTTTTGGATGGTGTCCTTGATCTCAGCCACCCACCTCCCTGACGGCCGCTGCCTGACACCCACAAATCGCTTGCGGGCCCTCCGGCCGCCGCCCAGAGCCGCTGCCTCCTCCATCATTTGATCCCACGACTTGATGTTATTGTTGTCTTCGCCGTCGTTGGTGGTGGAAGGAGGGACGGTGACATGGTCGGGAGTTTTGATGTCGTTCTCTTCTTGCTTCATTTTTTTTCCTGATGTTCTTCTTTCTTCTTCGTTTGTGGGTTTGTTTTGGGGTTTACTGGGAGCGATCTGGTGGTCTATATATTGTGATGGGAGTGGAGTAATTTTGTGTGTGGATATGTAGGTGAAGAGAATTTTTAAGAAATGGGAAGTGGGGAAGGGCGGAAATTTGGAAGGAGAGATCAAGAAATGGGGGACTTTACCTCTTGGATTCACGTATTTGGAAGACATGCAAATCGGCTCTCACACGCCAAAAGACATTTGCATTGCGAGCAGTGTAGCAGGGAAATATGGTGCGAAACTCGTCTTTGTTGTTTAGAAGCATAAATTATATTGGATAGTTTGATTAGGTATTTGTTTATTTTATTTATGGGGGACCAAGTCAAAAGCTTGCCTTGATTGATCTGCTTGATTTTTTATTTTTTAAGAGATGTTCGTCTGATAATTTCACCTTGTTGGGTTGAGTATATAGATCGATACCCAATAATACTTTTTGTTCGCTTTGGTACCCCCAAAATATAATTTTGTACAGTTAAATCTTGAATTTTCCAAACCTTTGAATAATAACGAGTTATTGATCACATATGAATGGCCGTTTGACCAAAGATGAAGAAAGGAGTGTGGTGAGAGGATAGAAATCCGTAGTTTTGAAGTGTTTTAAGGTGAAAAGGTTTGTACAGGTAATTGGGGAATTTTCGTATTGATATGAAGCAGATATGAGCAAAATTCGTAAAAGGGTTTGATGAGGATGAAGCTGATTTAGTTTTAGTCTCTCCGCCTCATATTCATACGCCATCCCACCTGGATTGTTTCTTCATATGTTAAAAATATATGAATAATATTGAAACCTCTCAACGATGGGAAGCGTAATTTAAAAAATGAGTTGAAATATAATTGAGTTGTCACCCAAATCAAACACTAAATTCATTCCCTCAATTCTCTCTTTACACTTTTACTTATTACCCCTTTTCAACAAGATTATATTAGTTGTTTATTTCTTAGTAGATGTGTCGGAGTCGGACGAATGATTTGGATAGTATTGTACTTTGTTTTATGAGTTAATTGATATTTTAGGATTGTATGTTTTGAATCTGTATTGAGAACGATTGTATGTTTTTGTCGATTTCATAATTATAGGATACCCATTATGTACGTAGTCATTTCACTAGTAGGGCCTTAGATGTCTTTTCCTAGTTCCCTAGTTATAGCCGAACCTAGCTACTTGCTGAATATGGTTTTGGGTAGATATGCAAGTACATGTAATCAGCTACGCATAAAATCATAAGTTGAGATAACACAACTTCTCCATGGAGTAAGCTCATTCACAACGAATGAGAAGAACCACGTAAATCATGTGTTCAATTGATCATTTTTGCACTTTGCGATTATACAAATCTTTTATGGTATCAGAGCAGGTTTTCTAAATAAAAAACCACGAGATCGATGTCTGGTGGAACCGGTGGTGATACCGACACCATGGTCAGCGACAGTGACGACAATGGAGGAGCAAATTCGATCCCATCAGCCATCCCGGCGGCAATGAAGATGCAATCATCAGACAATCCTAGTCAGTTATTCGTGGGAGATTTCTTGAATGACTTCAACTATGAAGAGTGGGTGACTGACATGACAGAAGCCCTAATCGCCAAGAATAAGCTTGGGATTGTGAATGGTGATCTCGTCAAACCTGAAGCCGCTGACGAGATTCGTGAGGCATGTTTACAGTGTGATGCCCTAGTTAATGAATGGCTGAAAACGACCATGGAAAAAGAAATCTGGAGCTCGATTTGCTATACCAAGACAGCTCGATAGATTTGGTTGGATCTAGAGTCACGCTTCGGAATTGGTACCGCGGCGCGTTCTTATGATCTTCGGCTAGAGGTCACGGCTTTGCGACAGGAGAAGCTAAGTTTTTCTACCTTTTACACCAAGTTGCGTGCCACTGGGAAGAGATGCAAACAATCACTCTAATCACATGATGCACATGTGGTTAGTGCACTTGTGAAGTTGGGATGAAGGTCACGACCAATCTTGAGAGTGAACGCTTCTTTGACTTCTTGATGGGGCTTGGGGATGCGTTTTCCACAGTCAAGACGCAAATATTGTCGATGAAGCCAACTCCTACCCTAGCTGAGGCATATCCTCTTGTGGCCACTAAGGAGCAGCACAAACAAATTGCGGCTAACAGGAGGCCGCAAGGCGAAGCTGTAGTGTTTCAAGCACGCCATGATAGGGATCGTGATGGATTTTATGCTGGAAGGCACAATGACTGAGGGCACGATGATCGCAAGGAGGTGATGAAATGTAGCCATTGTCGCAAGCATGGTCATCTCAAGGAGACATGTTACGAGCTTATCGGATGGCCTGACCGAAGACAAAAACAAGGCGACCGAGAGGACAAGCCGCGTGGCCCTCGTCCTAGAATGCCGCGTGCTTCTCACACTGATTCTAGCTCCAGGGTCACCATCTTTGGACTAAGCCTGGACCAGGTGCAACAGCTTCTTCAATTTCTCGGACAGAATGTTGGGTCTGCTCCAACTCACTCCTCAACTTAAGATCCACAGGTTCACATGGCAGGTAAATTTTCGGGTCATTCTGAATGGATTATTGATTCTGGATGCAATGAATACATTACAAATAATGAAGCAATGTTAGAAAACTTGCAACCAACATCGAGTTATTTGCCGGTGAGTATTCCAAATGGGGATAAAGTTCAGGTATAGCAAGTTGGTGAGATGAATTTAACCAAGGGAATGAAGCTCATTCGGGTGTTAAATATTCCATTGTTCAAGTGCAATCTTCTCTCAGTCAGTTGGTTTACTCAGGACTTTGATGTCACCTTAATATTTTTGTGCAATTTTTGCGTCATCCAGGACTTACGTTCCAAGAAGATGATTGGGACGGGACAACTCTGTGATGGATTATACTATCTTCAGTTGTTCGGGGTCAAGGGGTCTCAAGCTTTGGCAGCTGGCAACAAGAAGGATATTGGGGAGCTCTGGCATTCTCGACTGGGTCATCCATCGGAGAATAAAGCTTTTGTTTTGTTTCATTATGTTCAGAATAAATGCAAACTTGAGTCTAGTGCCTTTTCCTAAGAGTTCTATTAAGATGGGTTGTTGTTTTGAATTTATTCATGTGGATATTTGGGGCGATTTAAAGGTTCCTACTCAGAATGCAACTCGATATTTCCTTACTATAATCGATGAATTCAGTAGAGCGACTTGGATTTATTTTATGTGTTATAAATCTGATGTGGAAGGGTACCTAAAGTTGTTTATCAATATGGCGGATACTCAGTTTGGTGAGCGGGTTGCTCACATTCAAGCTGACAATGGGCTCAAGTTTCATACTCAAGGCTTGCGAGATTACTATGGGGAACGTGGCATCTTGCTTCGCACATCGTGCACAGATTCACCTCAACAGAATGGCGTTGTTGAGAGAAAGCACTGTCATCTCTTAGAAACGGCCCGTGCCTTGTGATTTCGAGCCAACATTCCTCTTGAGTATTGGGGTGAATGTGTACTCACGGCCATCTATCTCATTAACCGCCTTCCCTCGAAAATTCTTCAAAATCGCACCCCGTATGAAGTTCTCCTCCATAAATTGCCATCTTATGGTCATCTTCGAGTTTTTGACCGCCTCGCCTATGGTAAGGACACACACAAGGGAGTTTATAAGTTTTGGTGAACATGGTCGTTGTCAAATTTCATGGGTTATCCGTCTTTTCAGAAAGGGTATTGCCTACTTGACCTGGCCACCAATACTCTCTACACTTTGCGTGATGTGATGTTTGTGGAAGATCAGTTTCCGTTCATGACACCACTGCCCCTGTCTGCACTATTTCTCCTGTGATTGACTCGGATGTTGCTGATAGCGACAATCCTATAGCTCTTTCTCCAACATTGCAGCCTCCTCTCCGCTCGCAAGGGGATGAGAACTCCTCTCCCCTTGGCTCGTTTGCCACTACTCATGATGGGGATGAGAATTCCTCTCCACTTCGTTCCTCTGATCCTCTTCTCGACAGGAATGAGAGCTCCTCTTCCCCTCAACCGGCTGAGGCAGTTCCTGCCGTGCCCATTCCTCATCGCAGCCTGCGACATCATGAGGTCCCTCAGAAGTTCACGAGTCATGATACTCAGTTGCGTCCTTCCAACATTCCTTATCCTATATCCAACTATGTGATGTATGAGAAGTTTTCCCAGCATCACCAGAGCTTTCTCACGGTTGTCTCCAAGCTCTCGGAACCTACTCATTTTCGGGATGCTGCTCAACATCAGGAATGGCGTCAGGCCATGCAGCGTGAAATTGACGCTCTCGTTGCTAACAATACTTGGTATTTGGTTGCTTTGCCACATGACAAGAAAGTCATCGCCTGTAAATGGGTATACAAAATAAAGTATCGCCCAGATGGGAGCATTGAGCGTTACAAAGCTCGTCTTGTAGCTAAGGGTTTCACCCAAACTAAAGGAATAGACTATCATGATACTTTTACCCCCATCACGAAGCTAGTCAGTGTTTGTTGTCTTCTCGCAGTTGCGGCGGTTCGAGGTTGGTTGGTTCATCAACTCGACGTTAACAACGCGTTTCTGCAATGTGTGTTGGAGGAGTATGTGTATATGAAGGTTCCTCCTAGTTTTACGTCTCCTGGGGATTCTAGCGTATGTAATCTCCACAAGTCCATTTACGGGCCCAAACAGGCTTCAGGGAACTGGTATGCTAAGTTTACTTCCACACTTTTGGGACTTGGTTTCCACCTATCCCGGGCCGACTATTCGTTGTTCGTTCGTCGTCATGGTACCTCCTATGTGGCTGCCTTGATCTACTTGATGACTTCATTCTCGTCAGGATGATGAAAGTTTTATGCAGCATGTTAAGGATACCTTACATGCTCAGTTCAGCATCAAGAATTTGGCCCTCTCAAGTACTTCTTAGGGATTGAGTTAGTACGGTCTTGCAGTGAGATTGCTCTCTATCAACACAAGTACACTGAAGATCTTCTTAGTGAATGTGGGTTGTCTGGTGGGCATCCACGTCGTTTTCCTATTGAACAAAATCATCAACTCACGCGGGCGCCCGCTGAGGATTTTGTTCTTGTGTCGGCAGATGAAGCTACCTCTTACCGCCGGTTGGTTGGTAGTCTGCAGTATCTCACTGTTACGCGTCCAAACATTGTATATGTCGTTAACATACTTAGACAATATGTTCATGCGCCAACCACTACTCATGTCGCGGGTGCTGAGCGAGTCTTGCGCTATCTTAAGTCCGCTCCTGGTCAAGGCATTCTTCTTCCCTCTTCTGGGAGCTTGCAATTGATGGCTTACAGCGATGCTGATTGGGGTGGGTGTTATACGACGCGGCGATCGCGTCTGGTTATTTTGTTACTCTTGGTGCGGCCCCCGTGTCTTGGTGGACGAAGAAGCAATCGATCATCGCACGCTCCTCTGCTGAAGCGGAATATCGCGCTATGGCGAGTGCCGTTAGTGAATTCCTTTGGCTTTGTGTACTTCTACGCGATTTTGGTGTTTCCTCCCATGGTCATACGGTTCTCCATTGTGACAGCCTACTGCCCTTCACATTGTAGCCAATCCTGTGTTCCACGAGCGCACGAAACACGTAGAGATGGACTGTTATTTCGTGCGTGAACATTTTTCTTCTGGTGAGATTCTACCTCAGAAGATTTCCTCCCAAGATCAGATGGTCGATCTCTTTACTGGTGATCGTGTTCATGAGTTATCGTCCAAGCTGGGCATTTGTAATATGCATGCCTCGGCTTGTCGAATTACTGATCAAGAAATTCTCATTGTTCCCTGAACCAAATTCAACTCTTAGAAAGAATTGTGATAACTTGTTGATACCTATCTCTCTTCTATGATTTACAGATTTATCATTTGTTAATTTCTTAACATAAGATATAGATATACCTATCTATCTTAACAATGAGTAAATTAGGGGGAGTATAGGATACCCATTATGTATGTAGTCGTTTCACTAGTAGGGACTTAGATGTCTTTTCCTAGTTTCCTAGTGATAGCCGAACCCTAGCTACTTGTTGAATAGGGTTTCATGTATATATGCAGGTACATGTAATTGGCTACGTATGAAATCATAAGCTGAGATATCACAACTTTTCCGTGGAATAAGCTCATTCACAACGAATGAGAAGAACCACGTAAATCCTGTGTTCTATTTATCGTTTCTTCACTTTACGATTATACAAATCTTTTAATAATTTATTAGATCCATTTATTGTTATAAATGCATATCTACAGGTTTATTACCGACAGATACCAAAAACCACATATATGGAGATGGGGTTGAAAACCATTCCACGTATGAGTATTTGATGGATATGAATTTGATTAGTTTGAAAATGAGAATGAGATGGTTTCGCGAAAATCACTCCAAATCCCTATTGACATCCCTACTTTTGAGCAACCTAGAAGATTTTTATATTCATTCAACAAGAAAAAGAAAATATTTCACATTCTTATTCAAGAGGATTGTGTCACACCCTCTCCCTCCCGAATTGCTTAATTAGTACATATGTTTCATGGGCGATAGTCTGGATATGGGGTTATGTGTGTCATTAGTTTGTAATGTAATTAAGAGTATGCTTACTATAAAGTTGTCCAAATCATGTAGTAGAATCATTTCTCTGTCGACAATGATTATTATTGTTTTCCTTATATTTTAGGAAGGAAGTGCCCAACAAGACAGGGACCACCAATTTTCCCCTTCTGTTTCGATTTTTTTTCGTTACTAATTAAACAAAATATTGTTCTTCGGAAACAACAATACATAATCCATAACAATACCGTGGCCAAATCAATTGTTTTTATTTATATAAACAGGGGGCTTTCCACTTCGTATCATTGTAATAGTTTCGTTATCATCCATGTCTCTTTTTGGTTAGTTTTGAAACATGTTGCTGAACCACCGACTTCATTGTTGCAATGAAAAATAATTAAGATATAATTGAGGTCAGATTTATTATAATTTTAATGTAAGGGGAAAATGAACTTTCCATTGGGCATTGGAATTATAGCCACTTTCAATGCTATTAGAGCTATAGGGATCAAGACACTAGTTATGGAATCAATATAAGCAGACAAAAAAAAAATTGATGTAGATTTGAATACTGAATCCTCAAAACCGTGTGTATTTTCCCAGACCAGTTCCAGAAAAGAACTTCTACTATAGATGTACAAGTTGGGGCGAAGTTTATAATTCTGTATGTTGAAAGGTTTTTTTTGGCCATACGCATTATGTATGTTAAAGAATACAAATGCACAAACTCGACCATGATAATTAGGGTAGCAGAGCATCATAAAAGAAGACAAGTTGATGAAGGACTCTCGAAGAAAGCAGTGCAACGACCCTGCGGCCTAGCTAATTGATACGATGTTATACTCCCCAAAACAGGTAATTAATAATAACCATAATAATATTGTTACTAATAATTGCACACGGTATTAATATTGTGAAAGACATTTCGAAATTCGTTTTCCGTCACATCTTTCTTGATGTCATATCTTCTACCCACTCAATGTTCCTATTCTAAAATTGATGAGAATATGAATACTAATATTGTTCATCCAACTTCGACGCCAACCATAATAGAAGATACTTGTTAACAAGGTCCAATTTACTCGTGTTCTATATGCAAAAAATAATTAACAATCTTATTAACTGGTATAATGGTTAATTACTGCTTTTCACACCACACATCGTCATGATGTGAACCAGCAGCAGCCTGCTTATTCTGCTGCTTACACATGTCAGCTTGTCATGGCTTTGCATATATGTGGTTCCGATTTTACGGGACTATCCTCACAAAAACCATAAAACAAAACAAACCAAAAGTTCATCGGAGCTTCCAAAATGGCTCATTTTCAGGTTGAGATATTTTATAAATAGAATTAGACAATGTGTATTTAATTAAGTGGGTCATGATCACAATCTAGCACAGACTCACATTGTAAAATTTCCCAGTAATTGTTTATTATGAGTTGGCTGCAAGATCAATCAACTCTTTAGATTCGCCAAATTAAACATAAACATTAATATAAACCCTAACTAGTGAAAGCAAAAGTATATATGTGGGATCAGAAAAGGGACAATATTAGGGTAAGGTGAGATAGTGTTCCGGATAGATCGATTAGAGGTTGCAATTTAACTAACTAGTGCTCTGAGATTAGTGACGGTATTACCAAGGAACAACAAAGAAAGAATTCTTTTTAACTATAATGCTTGTTGGGGGTACATTCCTACACTCCCTAAGGTTTATTTCAATTTCTCACTATCCAATTCGGGAATCTATTAGATGCAGCTCATGAATCTAAATTTCAAATGGATCTTCCATAAATCCCTGAATCCATTTAATCCAATCCGATGAATAAATCCACAAATCCAACATGGCACCTATAGGCTATATCATGATTTGTATAAGGTTCATTACATTTGCCCATACCAACAACGTTTTACTATATCTTATATATCCACCTACAAAATTAAGTAGCTGCCACCGCCATAAATGTACTTGGTATCTTCATTTTAGCTACATGTGCAACCATCTTTTCGTAATTAATATCGTACTTTTGAATGAAATATTGCTTCACCAGGCTAGCATTATATTGATCTATGGAACCATCCGAATGGAACTAAACTGCCTAAACCCATTTACTGCCAACAATTGGCATCCCATGCAAGAACTCTTGGAACCAGCTCACAAGTGTTATTAGCTTCAGGAGCCCGAATTTCACGGGCCATGGGAGTGATCTCTTAACACAAAAAGGTACGAAACTCGAATTTTCAAAGTTGAAAATTCTTTTCGTCGAACCAAGTGGTCTTTATGAAAACATATCTGAAATGTGGATTGAAACCCTAAAGACTTGATCTTCTCATTCACTTGTTCTGCCTTTTATAAGCAAAGAAACTTACAGAAGATGACAATAAGCAGTACAATTTGTCCACAAGCTTGGAGAGGAAACAAACAGAAAGCTTGAACGAAAAGTAATACAGGCAAAGAAGAAAGGGAAAACGTCGTCGCATCAGCTAAAAGTCTTAACCACCTAAAACGTTGTCGGATTGAGATGCTTCTTCAAGCTTTGAACCCAGTTGACCGTTGCAA